TAGCATTGTACTTGTAAGAAGGAATTTAATGAGCATAGCCTATTTACTGTTGATTATTATTAAGTTATAATAAACTAAATCTACTTTATTCGTTTATTTGTCATCCGAAGTAATACTAAAAGGGTAAAGTTGAAATTTAACTCTTCATCTCCTCAGTACGGATGACAACTGAACAAAACAAAATATCCATTGCAAAACTGATACTAAACTAATATGATGTTTCAAGTGTTGAATCAAGAAACATTTTTATTTCTAGAATTAATCAAAATTGTAATATCCCCCTCTATCTTCCTTTCTAGCTTGATAATGCTCCCTGATTGGTGAGAAGCACGAAAACTACTCCCAATACATCAACGGGCTGGCAGCGATCTCACCGCGTTCTGACGCCAACACGCACTCTGTAATGTAAATTGGTGAGTCGGTGGCGCCACGGATTTCACGATCAAGGCAGCGATGTCGTGGGTTTGGGGCTTAATCTCACTAAATTTTATCTATACAGCTCTCCTTTGTAATGTACAGGGTCACTCAACGATTTTCTGGATACGTTTTACACACCGGTTTACACATAGCTTGTGTTGACGGACGGGCAAATACAAGGTAAAAAAAGACCATTAACCTCTTTCACAAAAAAATAAAAAGTGGACCTCTCTAAATAAAAAGTATTCTTCAACTTATGTTTAAAATAACGGTAACTTTTTCGGATTTAACAGGTGAATAATAATTTTAGTTGATTTTAGAGAACATTTGATTGATTTATTTGATAGGTTTGTAGGCCTACAGTGGTTTTAATTCAATAATGAACTAAGATCTCAATCTTAGTATAAGGTACCTCAGTACATTCTGAGGGTACCTCAACCTTAGTTAGTAACAGAAATTTCGCATATTCAATATCCTAATAATTCTCTGGAAATAGGATATTGAATATGGTAAGCATAATTTCTGTTACAATAATCATTTATAAATTTAAAACTAGTGAGTTGCTTCATGCTCTATAAGCTGTACTAGCTAAAATTAATAGTGAAATATATATTTTTAATGTCTATACATTAAAGTTGAGTGTACGGTTGTTCATGCTATCTATGGTTTTTAGTTAATGTTTTCCAAATCGCAATACAATTTACCAAGCACAACAGATTAAGCAGACATAATAGATAATTTGCATTGTTACAACATCATAACGATTTTCAGAATAATAAAACTATATAAGTTTTTTTCAATATTCCAAGTTATTATTTAAGTGCGTTAGAAATCAATTAAAGCTGACTGGTAAAAAAAGATTTGAATACTAAAAAAATGGAACTAGTTTCTTAGAGACTACGAATGAAATGTATTTCTGTTATATCAGGTCATGATGAGATAACATCGACACCACTCAACAAAAAACTGCGAATTGTTAGAAAAATCAAACTTGGATTTAAAATTAGGTCCAATGAATGAATCATCATAACCTAAGGTCTGCCCTAAAATCTAAACGTTATTTTACACTTTAGTGGGTCACTGATGTCTGCCAGCTAAAGGTAGTTTCATTTATCAACATGAATAATTCATTTCTTGGGCTTAGGTTTTAATCTGGATTTTCAAAATAAAATTTTCAGAATTTTCTGGTAGTGAGAAGTACTAGCTGTTGTATATTTATATAAATTCGGCAAACAACAATTTCATAAGGAGTGTTAAAGTAAATTCTCATTTTCATTAAACGTTTTAAGTTTATTTTATGTGACTGCAGTAATACAAGAAATGTTTTGTGTACATTTTGATTGTTAAGTATATTACTTAGACAATTTTATGCACTAAGTAATACATGCATTCGAAGAACTTAATGAATAAATAATCGTATTCATAATTTATTTTCGTTTTATTCACTTTTCAATCCTATTAAAACAAGGGGCGAACAATAAAAGTACCTGGGATCATTGCAGTAAACAATCGTTTTATAATCCAGATCGTTAAAACAATTGAATGCGAAATGGAAATGGTGGTGTGTCTACATTTGCTTTAACTATGTGTTTCAAATAAACTTCTTTTTGACATTTGTATACCATGTATGGATGTTATATTTCTGAATATGAATTGCCTAAATGCAGGGTGTTTCCGAATTGTTTGGACATATTCTGTGCACTTGTTCCCTGGGCTAAGACAAACATTAACCACCATATGAGTCTAAAGTGCCTAGATTTCTGCCTGTCAGTATGTTTGTGATTTGTATAAATTATTTTATATCTTGAGCAAAATTTGGTAGAAATGTGTAGTTCTGAAAGTAAAACAACTGTGAAAATTTCGTTCCAATATCTCAAGCCGGTTCAATATGGCGGCCATTTAAAATCTGTAATACCAAATTTCATGAAAATTGTATAGATTAAGAAAATCTTTTACCTTACCAAAAGGATGGAGGATTTTAATACAAATCAAATGAGACCTTTTTTGTAAAAATCGGATGAAAAATAACAGAGTTATCAGTTTTTTTTCTACATTCGGTTACGCAATTTAATAGGACTACGAACCATGTTCTCAAGTATAGTAGTCGTAACCGAATGTAGAAAAAAAACTTATAACTCGGTTATTTGTCATCCGATATTAACAAACAAGGTCTCATTTGACTTGTATTAAAATTCTCTATCTTTTTAATTAGGTCTACAGTTTTCATAATATTTACGTTTTTCATGAAATTTGGCATTACAGATTTTAAATGGCCGCCATATTAAAACGGCTTGAATTATGGGAACAAATTTTTCACAGTTCTTTTTTCATTCAGAACTACACATTCATAACAACTTTCAAATCTCTATCTTGAAAAGATATAAAATAATTATAAAAATCACAAACAGACCGACAGACAGAAATCTAGGCACTTTAGACCCATACTTATATTGTGTTTTATGTTTGTGTTATCCCATGGAACAAGTCCACAAAATATGTCCAGACAATTCGGAAACACCCTGTATAAATATACCTCGTATTTGCCAAAGAATATTCCGGTAGGAAAAATTTGTTGGCTTAAAAATTTTAATATAGCTTTTTAATAAAAATAGGTCTGAGACAAAAGATTGAAAGCCTGAGAAAATGTGTTTAATTTGTGTATTGCTAAATAATTACACTACTAAATGTATGTAATAAATATTTGTTTAATCATCTAAGAATTTTATTCTCATTTTACAGATCCATTCCATTCTTACTCCTAAAAACAATTTACTTAATAACACAAAAAATTATAATACTAATCCGATATAAAAAACACTACTTTTCATAATGGATAAGAAAATATTCTGTTGGGAAAATTAAAACAGTTTTAAAAGTTTATCTAGTGATAATCTATGCAAAACAGTTCCTGTTGTGTTCGTTTTATCACTCACTTACCAACCAATTTCCACCACTAACTCCAGGAAGGACAGAAACACACGACGAAGGGCTGCATGCAAACTAACCTCATGTTTATTCAGTAGTGGCAATGTTCTGAGACTATTTGACGTCACCAGCTGACGTACAAAATGTATACTAGGACCAACGTTTCAACATATAGCAAACTAAATTTATTTTAAAAACTTGTGAAAACTTTAAATATTCATAAAAAAAACTGAAAAGTAACCCCATTCCCAAAAAATGTTTTACGTTTATACGACGTAGCCGGTATAGGACTTTGGAATTTAATTAAAATTTATCAAACAACGTAACTCACTTGAGGAATCAAACTTGAAACAATTTCAATGGATGATGCATTAAGTTGTTTTAATATTTTTTACAGTTTGAGTTAAATAGGTACCAACATTAAGAGGTTTACAACGGTGAGCCTTGTATTAATAATATACTGTAGTATAAATATAGTGTGTAAATTAAGTCTAGAAACAAATCTGTATTTTTAAAACCAAAGGCTGTATGTTGATTGTTAACAAAGGCTCCGTAATTTTTACATCAACAATATTTGTTAACCCCCCTAACAGGGTAGTAGGAAGGGGTGACTAATTGTTTTCAAATAGCAACCCCTATAGAGTGATACCTCATTTTGAAGGGTTTGTCAAAAGAAACATAATGACGCAAATCCGAGGTGAATATCTCACCCCTAGCCAAAATGGCGGGTATTCCAAAATGGGTGCTTTTTTACATAAACCAAATCTTGGAATACCCGCCTTTAGGCTAGGGGTGAAATCTACCTCGGGTTTGCGTCATCGTGTTTCTTTTGACAGACCCTTCAAAATGAGGGGTCACTCAATAGGGGTTGCTGTTTTAAAAAAATAAGTCACCCCCTACCACCTACCCTGTTAGGGGGGTTAAAAACATTTTTGATGTAAAAAATTACGGAGAATATTTCCATCTAATTCGGTTTACAAAAAATACAGATTTGTTTCAAGACTTAATTTACACACTGTATATGCAAAGCTGTATATGTAGCTTTCGTTTAAAACCAATGCCTAATAAAAACATTGCAAGATATTACCTTTATTTTATACTTAAAGTTCATTTAATGAAAACTTTGCCACTCAAACTCTGCGAAAACAGGTGCCTATAAAAATTTTAGGATTTTTATTTCCGTTATTGCATATGTTCTCAGTAAAATATGTTAGGTTATTATATTTATTTTCAATTTTTCCATTAGATAGCTTGTACTCTAAACAAACTTAAATGTAGTTTCCTGCAATTTTATTATTAAAAAAAATTATGTGGGGTATACAAATTAATCTTACATGGAGGAATTCATGTATAGGAACATAAATTTTTACAGAGACACTACATGCTTTCAAAGGATAAAAATTGGATCGATAAATCGTTTACAATGGTTTTGTGACTATCCGCTCAGTGGCTACTTCTTGGATTGACATACTATACATATTTTGTTCAAACCCTACTGTACCGACTTGGCACCACTGGCTTGCAAGTGACTTGTATCGTAACAGCTGACTAAGAGAAATCAGTGCTGAATTACAGAATATTTAATATAGTGTAATACACATTTTGTCCCACAATTCCTTAGTCAATATCTGGGTAAATAAAACACTTCGTTAGCTTTATTGTTTTTTATTAGTGACCAATAAAAACAATGACGATGTAAGGTAGTGTGCAGGGTGGACCATCGACAAGTGTATATACATTCTGTACAGTACATCTAACTCAGCTTATTATACACAAAAGACATATAAAACTATGGCTAAGTGAACACTGTACATGATGGTGATATGTCTGTGCGGCCTGGAAGGGTATAAAGGTGATGATATTCCTTACGAAATTCCCAGGAACGTAGAAAAAGTAGAGTATTTGAAATGAAGGAACATCAAGGAACTTGTAATTTATTATGTGGATTTATAATTGCACCTTAAACACAATAAAGTAGGTGATATGAGTCATCTAAAGATAGGTCTTATCCGAAAATTGATTTGCACATTTTATTGCTCAGTGTAACGTATTGTGGGAGATATGTATAGTTTCATGAGGAAACCGTTTAAAGAAATATAAGTTATGGAAGGTTGGCAAATGTTTCAAGGAGCTGGGAATCAGGTAAGGAGGGGAAACGTGATGCCTTATCTTATGTACAATAGTTTTCTAGAAGTGGTGTGGAAGGTGGATAGCACAATTTATTGAAAGGTAAACAATTGCGAGTAATTGAATGTTAGCCTTACAAAGTTTAATTGATTTTACGTGTATTATTATTGCGTAGCTGAAGTAAACAAAGGATGAATGGATGATTACACAAGTATGATTTAAATCAGATTAAAAAACAGAAACAATGTAACTCTAATTCGTCAGTATTATAAATTTGAAATCACACTGATTGACTTTAAATGTAAATAAACAAGAAATTTGTAATAAAATGCATAAACGATGATTTAATTCACATAAATTTAAATACGTTTGGATCGACATTGATAGAATTCTGTACCTATACTTTGTATAAAAATATCGTTAAGATCACTACGTGGACTTCGGTTCTAAAGCCTGACAGTTACAAAACCTCTTGAATCGGAATAAGAAAGTCAAGGCTGGCCTTACTACTAAATATCCTTCACAACCGATCAGTATACAAAAATCTTCATTCGTTCAATAGGACGTTTTCAGTCATTTTCACAAGTAAAACGGCAGCTTACAAAATAGAAATGAAGAAATCTCTCGAATGAATGGTAAGGAGATGATGTTAAGCACACACACCGCCGTGCGTGTGGTGCAGAAGCTTCAAGCTCTGCTGAATGTAGTCTGCCCCCACAAGCACAGCCACTAGGGTATCAGCTGTCTAAGTGGAACTATCAGTCCAACTGTACATTGTCGTCTGCTAAGACGGGCACTTGGGTTTATCCGCAATGATCCGCAGAGTCGGACGACCACGACAGTTTCACGTGATAGTCCGAGTCCAACACGAGGTCTGATATGCAGCCTTTCAACCCCCGGTGGTATTTGTGGTGTGTTGTCACCTCCATGTCTTCTACCCCACCTGAAATCATTGCAGGTTGATGAGCACATTATGTTTTGCCTGTATATACATCCAAATAATTCGTTCTTCAACTACAACTGACATCGTTTCAGCTAGATAACTTAATATATACATATTTATCTGTTATCGTGAATGTATAAAAATTACCGTTTCAATGAGTCCCTAAGGGCCTCTACTTACCAACGTATAAGCCCGTGTATGTATTCAGCTGTTTTAATTTTCCTGGTGATCGAATGTATGCAGTCTCGCTGTTGTCAACGGATAACCAGCTCTCCTGGCCATTTCTGAAACAGTATAGTTGCAAATATTAAATGGCATAACCATAACAAATTTGCAGGTCTTCACAAAACAATAAAACTCATCTTACAATATAGGCGATTAAAACGGCCTAGATCACCACATACACGTTTATAATTCATCTTTTTTCAGGAGACTTGATGTCTTAAATATTTACACTAACAAATTCTTAAAATAAAAATTTTTATGTCAATGTTATTTTTTTGAAAAAGTAAATATTTTATTTATGTTTTATTTGTCTGGTAAAAAATTAGGTTCGTTTAGATAAGGGGGGGGGGGGTTAAAATACGGGCTTCTTGTTGTTTTAATGATTATTTAATGATTTTCATATTGTACCTAACTATTCTTTTTAGTTAACAACACTGTAAAAAAACCTAGCATCGTATCAACAGATCTCAAATGCTACAAAGGTGCTCAAAGGTGTGCTTTAAAGAACTATGTGATAGTCAAAATAACTTTTGTTTTTCAAATACTGTGTTGTGACATAAAATTCTCAAAACCTGTAACTGACCCTCCATATCTAGCATAACGTCAAAGATAGAGGAATAAAATGGGTCTCCTACAGCTGCTAGAATTTGGAAGAGCCTAAGGCTGATGGACTGCATGTGAGATTCAACAAAATACAGAAAGTTTGACGTAGCCTAGGGCACGAAAGTAGCCTAAAAAGCATAACATCAATCTACTAAAAGTTTTACGTACCTTGTTGCCTTGAGATGATGCCAATGGCCGTCGTCCATTCTACTAGAGTTGAGCACGAGATAAGCCTCGCCACTGCCCAGGTTGTACCTCATGTGAACCAAGCCGTCTCTCAGGCCCAGAGCTAAGTAGTCACCCCCTCCCTTGGCCCCCTTGGTCTGCTCGCCCCCTCCACTCCACAACAGCACGCCTGAGCTGGCAGCAGTTCGGAACCTCAGTGTGATACTGACTTTGTCCCCGACGATTCTGGAAACCAACATATTGCAATTCCAAATGTCCCTATCAATACTGAACCACAAACAAGTAAGGAACATAGGGAACAAGCCCTTGGGACAACAGTGCGATTTCAGATCTGGTATGTTGTGCCGGAAATATACTTGTGACGAGTCAGGAAGAGCCTGAGCACTGTGCAGAAATTCCTATCCCACAGATCACAGGGTCTTCCCTCACCATGAGCGTTGTAATACATTAGGGCGAAGAGGTGCCATTAGACGTTATCCTTGACACAAGCAACTACACCCAGGCGTAACTTGTGTAATATAAAATGTTTCCTCTATACCTTACGTCTCTGTGAATGAACCGAACAAAAATGGATGATCTCAATTTTTTTTCATTAGAAAGGCCATTGCCTACTTTTTCCCCATCAACAAAACTGGTTTGTAGCTGTAAAATATACTACATATTCCACATATTAACTATTGTGTGGGTAACACAACGTGACAAATAAAGATTTTCTTTTAATGATTTTTCTCTTGTACCTAGCTATTTTTTTGGTTCAGAAAATAGAGATCAGAAATGTATAAATGCTGAGGATTATTTGCAAATAGTCGTCACTGTTTCACAACAAGTTTCAAGTCTCCCGTACCCCAATTACGACAATACAATCAACAGGTAGCTGAACATGTTGGAAAAGTTACACAACACTTTTGGCATCTTTTAGTTTCCCAACTTACCTGTGGACAATATCTGGATCAGTGTAGTGCAGGAACGTGGTTCCTGTGAAGGAGGCAGTAGATGATGTCGTTATGGCGTTGACTTCCTGACAATGGCGCTCACATTGGCACTTGTACGCCTCGTGGTGGGGGACGCAGTGCGCATGCTCCCCGCAAGGCCGCGCCACGCAGGGGTGGGGGCAGTTGTCGACGTTAACCCCAGCCAAGGCTTCGGCCAGAATGTGAAGAGGCTGGTTGTTTATCACCACCTGAAAGCAAAGAAGAAAGGTAAAACTCTATTCTATTGCAAAAAATAAATTTGTAAAACTGGTGAATTAGATACTCATGTAGCTATTTGTTAGGTCATAGATCATAAAACAATAAGAAGCACACTACAGAGTTCGATTAGGAAAAAGGTCAGTCATAGTTACGATTCAAAACTAAACCCAACCCAGCTGTTGAGGCGATTCTTTTAAATAAGGTAAATTATATTGGCTAAGGGGGATACACTAGTAATTTTATTCCATTCTTCACTACTATTGACTTAAACACGTACTTGAAGTTCGTCACTGTCTTTAAAAATTATTAGTTTGTAAGGTAAGTTTTTAAATTGTCATTTCGTGGGCTCTTATTGCTTGCTATATTACTCCCTCGTGATGGTAACTTTGAACTGATGACACTAACAACAATCACAATTAATTATACCATGCACATAATAAAGGTAACGTCATCGATATGGTACACTTCTTAAATTGTAATCAATATGGTTTATTAGAAATTACACAATTGATACTTGAAGTATTGTAATTTTCGTGTACTAACCAGTCTAATTACCAGTTAAACATGACAAGACCTGGGACTTTTATTAGTACTTAATTCCTCGATTTACGATCAAATACTCTAGTCCTATTCTATGTAAATTGATAAAACCTAACAAGCAGCTTCTCTAAGGATTGCGGTTCTGGAAGAGGATGGTTAATCATCTGAGTCTTTGCAATTTTTCTGGCACAAGCTAAATTCAAACATGGTTTTCAAGATAAAATACAAGTTCTTACTCACTACTAGAACATCATCGCAGCCCCATAAGAAAACTAAAGTCAATTAACTATTAAAAGGTTTTCATTAAAAATCCAAATTACCTTTTGTATGCACCCCACAAACGACGTACGGACTTTCACCTTGGGGGATACCATGTCGAAGTTTGGAACTCCGCCGATGTAGAGGTTGAGGGGAAGGGAGAGTTGTGTGAAGGCCCCTGGGGCGAGGATCTGGGTCGGAGGCTTCTTGTCTACTTGGAGGACTGCCAACCTCCCAGTCCGGGACACTCGTAGCTCGTGCCACTGCCCTAGCGTGACAGGCTCCTCACTCCTAAATGGGAAGGGGTGGTTCAATAGAAATTATACACATTTTCCCCCATAAATATGTAGGTGATTATAAATTATGTTTGAGGTCATACGGGATTGGTGAATGATTTAATCTGCCAAAACAGCCGTTACAATAAACTGATTATAAAGTATGTTGAAGCGAAATACTACGATTTGACGCATTTCATAATAACTGTAGATTTTCTATTACATTTAATAAAACATTGATTTAAACTTAAAGCGTAAAATTTGCAGTAAGAGCATACAAAAGGTTGAAAATGAAAATTTTTTCACGACAATTACCATTAATTAGATTTGTTCATATTTATCTGTGTGGTTCTAGCATTGAAGAAGATTGAAAAAGATTGAAGCAGATTGAAAAAGTTTTTGGCTTTTGGCGTCAACGTCGTCGGTTTTGATTGCATCCAGACTTTTCACCCTTATTTTGAAGAGCTTAATGGCTAAGACAGAGATGACTCTTCATATATCTAATGATGCAAAAATCACCAACTGACGACCCAATCGACACCAAAATCCTCTACGGAATCTAATACTACCATGTACTAAAGCAAATTAACATAAACGATGAAAAATAATGCCTGTACAGCATATAACTACAGTAGTTAACTGTCTGTGAGATAAATATGATTAAAAACAGCAAACACATTTACCTTAAAGTGGCAGCTCCCGTTCCCAGATCAAAGGTGAACTCCAGATGACCCTCACTCATATAGACCGACATGAAGTCTCCGACTCCATCAGTGCGATGGCCGTTGTACAGGATGACTCCGTCCCCAGCACTGGGCTTGAAGACTAGCAGGAGATCAAGCCAGGAGAGAGCGGAACCCCCGAGACCCGGGTACCTCAGGTAGGAGGAGCCGTTGAAGGAGGGTACCTGAATCAAGTTGTGATAAATTGTTGTGTTTAATTACCGTTAGAATATTTGAAGGAGGATTGAAGATTTGGTTCAAGGGATGGTAAGGGTTTAAAGGAGACTGATATTGCTAGTGGGAAATATTAGACGTGATGGAAATCTAGATTATAAGGTTACGCTAGCTGAAACTTAAATGAAGGAGGTGAACCTTGAAAGAGACGTTCAGATTCGAATTCGTTGGCTGTAAAAACTAGTCAAACTATCAACCAGTAACGTTTTGTTATATTGATTATTATATTGAAATTTTATAACTTGTTAAAAATTAAAACTTGAAGTAAAGTGATTTTTTCTTATTCTTAAAAAAAAAAAAATCTGTGAATTCAGCTCCATGTGATAAAAAGAGTTTGCTAGTTGTACATATTGAACACTAAATTAATTTAAACATGGTTGTGAAAATTGATATCCTTCGAATAACTTTTGGTCAAGGAGAATAGGCCTGCATTTTAGTTCCATAGATTATTAAAAACCGAACAAATTCAATCAGGGAGATAAGCCAATACTAGAGGATGGTGGTAGAATTGTTATGCAATTTCCAGTTACCAATCACCCAACCGACCTAATGTATTGTATATTTTTTCCTAGCATTCCATTAGAAATAGGTAAAATACAATTGAACACTTAACTTGTATTTAAATATAACAGCTATGTATTAACCTTTAACAAACTGAACACGCCAAAACATGTTTCTCAAGAATTTAATTTCCTAAGTAGTACAAGCAGAAGCGTCTAAGTTACCTGTAAGTCAAGCCTTGTCTCACAAAGGTCGCCAGTAAAGCCAAGAGGACAGAGACACACTGCAGAGTCCCCTGAGGTGAGGCATTTGCCTCCGTGCTGACAAGGGACTTTGCTGCATCTGTCTGCTACACACTCGTCTGTAACAAAAGTAGTAAGTTTCACTACTGTAGTAAGTAGTAAGTTAGTGGGCTGAAAAGCTCACTTTTTGGTTGCCCTTTTTGATTTAACATAAAAAATACATTACACCAAAATGCTTAGTAAATTTCTGGAATTCCAAAATTTGGGAAAAAGATTTACTATCACAGAAAAATATATTCTATCTTTGCAAAAGCCAAATTGTGAATCAAAGACTTTTCATTAGTGTTCGAGACTTGGAGGTAAGTTAAATTTTACCTTTGGTAAGGTGGTTACAAAACACGTGTTTTATGATTCGTAGACGGAAATTGACGCGAATAGTAACTTAATTGGCATGAGTGTACACAATTCAAGTTAATCAATTATAATGATGTTGAAAAAATTTAGAAAGAGATACATGAGTTGTGACTATGTTCACAAAGAAACATGCAGTAAAAGATTTAAGCGTATTTTAGGTATTTCGTGAAATTCTAGAAAGTATAAGTATTTTGAAGGTTATAGTGAAGGTCATGATCATTGTGTTGCTGACTATATTCTCACAAAGGTAAGTAGCTCACAAATGTTTTGAATATGACCCAACATCCCATGACCATTTTAACTGTTATAGATAGTCAAAGTAACAGCTTATTTAAGTAATCCAGCAACACAAGCTAGCTTCATTTTACATTCATCGATAGTAATCTGAGTCCCTGTTTCAATGAACGGATACAATTACTTGTACAGTACACCCCTTCCATTCTTAAAATCTTCATTAAGTGCACTTATGTAATAAAATATGTTCAATATTTCCAGATAATGAATCATTGTAACATGTTGGGAATTTAATCACCACGCATTGAGCTAAAGAAAGAAAAACACTAAAAACAGAACTTTCTAAATTTTAAAGGACTGTTTTTTGTAGGAATATTTTATAACAGCACAAAAAATACATCCCACAAGTTTTAAACATACCAATATCAAAGCCCTTGACGGCGTCACCGGTTGGTGCCAGGGCAAAGTTGTATATAAGATCGTTGATCTCCAGGTGTCTGACGCATCCTCGAAATCCACGCTCTGTGGGAAGCTTCTCCGTAATCCCCGACGTGTTTCCTCGCCCTCCGATGAACACAGGCTCTCTGAACGTGATGCGGGAGAACAGGCCCTGGAATAAAAACGAGGAGTGTGAAATCAGTTTTAACAAACTCGTAGCATTCTATTGTAAGGTGCATTTTCAACTATCTAGGAATGAAAATCCAGTGTGTCAGTTGAAATTGTAGGTAGTTAGTTACACTGTTTAAAAGTGGGTCTTCAAGAGATTTGATTTTTTATCATTTTGTTGAATTGACAAATATAGTGGAAATATTTTTGATGCGTTGGATCAATCTATCTTTAGGGCAAACTACAATTTAACTGAAGATTCAACGATGATGTCTTCCCTGAAGAACAAGGTTTGATATGCTACTTACACAGTGAAAACCTACCAATATGGTAAATTATACTTGAAAGTGAATTTCAGCAAGTGCTATGCTACTTGAAAAACGTAGCTCTAGCCTAGCTAGCATGGGATGAATGAAGTTACTCGATTAAATTACGTATACAACTAATCGTGACTACTTATTTAAAATTATCGAAATGACTGAACAAAAAATGAATTTGATTATGTTCAGTAACAGTATGTTAATTGTTTATAATTATAGCGAGGAGATCCTTGAATAAATAATTAAATGGAAATTAAATGGCCCATCTTATGGTATTTAATTGGGTAAAAAAGGTGTTAAATCCTACCTTTGATCGGCCCTGGACCCTCTTTCCGTTATTCAGTTGTATCCATGCGTCCCAACGGTGCCTGTATAACGTCAGTTTGTTCCATTGGTTGAGCAAAACGTTGTCTTCCGACCTCACCACACCCACACCCGATCCACAGTCAAACCTGCAAATAATTATGTCAAATACAATTAATTTATATTATTAAACAGGATCAAATGTTCACAGGTAAAATAGCTTAAAATATTTTACTGTGAGCAAATAACAAGTAGTAAATATTATTTGACATATCGCTATGTAGCCGTAAGTAATGCTTTTGTTTACACTATTAATCATTCAAATGGACAATCAGAGCAAATGTAAAACTAGCAATATACCCTAATAGTAAGTTTATAGAATGCAATTTACTTCACGTTCTTAAGTTTCATTGTAAATTAGAAATCTACTCATGACTATTACCTACTTAAGTGTCTCATTAAATAAATGGTTCTGAAGAAATGCTATTTCTTAGAATGATTATTTAAGCATAAATAAATGATGAGTATAAATAAATGAGTTACAGCATGTTAATAGTATTTATTGATCCACAAATTGTTATGCGTGAAATCAATTGTACAAATGGCGATTTTTCCGTATATAAATAAATAAAAATAAATATAAATAAAATAAAACAAATAAATAAATAAATGATAATAAATAATAATAAATATTGATATAATAATAAGTATGTATTAAATATAACTGCTTTTCAGAACAACTTTTGTCTTAATAAATAGCAATTATTAAAATAACAAAGCAAATAAATAAATTTAAAAAATTGGAGGGGTTAATTATGATAAAATTGATCCAGAATGTTTAATAGCAAAAGCCCATGTTTGACTTGTTATGTCTTCCTACTAGCTTCTAGTATATCGCTTGAATATATTTACACTTATACTGTTTACTGGTATACTCACAAGACGTTAAATACATAAAAAAAATGGTAAGTGGTGATCGATTTCAATTGGACACTTCAATCATTCATTGACACCATTCTGTGCTTGATGCTCACGAATAAAGTATTCTGTATTCTGTATCATCATCATACCCAATAGGCGAATGGCCCAATAGACTCACCTATTGGGTCTGATGATGATTGGAATGTCCAATCGAAATCGATCATCACTTGCCATCTATTATGTATTTACCATCCAGTGAGTAAACAGTGTGCAAATATATTATTATAAGTGTTACTTGGCGTATTTTATGTGCTTTCAGACATTTCTTTAACAACGCTAGTTACCGGAATTCCACAAAGCCCTGGTAGAGGAAGAGCACCATGAAGTCCCCAGCCAGGTCGTCCCTCTCCCCTGTGAGGAACAGTATACCGTCCCAGCTCTCGGGTCTGAACTCTACTTGCAGTTGCACGTGTTTGTAGGCGGCCCTTAGCGCGGGAAACGCCAACCACCCTTGTCCAGAAAAGCGCGGGGACCTCACCTCCACTTCTGCTGAAAACCGAGGACAATGAGTTAGAAAATGTAAAGGTTACAGTTTGGTAATGCTTTATAATAAGCGTTTGGAGACAGTAGGCTAAGCAGCCCTGTGTCAGACATGTCGGTACTAAGCTAAACCAGACCTTCAATCCATAATTTAAGTTGCTACTTCTTTCTTTTGGTTTTTTAGTAGAACCAATCACGGGGTAACGCTAGTGAAGTGACTAACTGTCAAGGTTTTCCTTGCTACATAGCTTACCCGAGGACTGTCATTAGATAATCAGATGGAAAAGAACAGTGGAAAAGATTTTTTTTTAGAATCATAACTTAATCATACTTATAAGATAATATTTTAATTAAAAGTGGCCTGGTGTAAGTCTGTATGATAAGCATAATTTTGTATACTGCGTTTTACAACACCCCAACGTTCAACGCGTTATTCAAATGCAGCTATTCATTGTCGTTTGCAGTCTTAGAGATGGAAATCACCACTAAGACACGATAGAAAATCTAACAAATATTAGATACAAAACTCCAGTGAATAAGTGGGTCTCTTGTATTTTTCTATTCCAAATAATGTTCAACAAAGAAAGAAGCGTAAAAATTTGCATTTGCAAATTCGGCTTCAATTTTGTATATTTTTTGCTCAACTGTTTTCTCAGAGAGTATACTAAAAAAAAAGATTGTGATATTTAAAAGTAAAAAGACGGCGTTTGACTAGACACCAGTGGCAAAAGAACTGAAAAGAATGCCACCAAAAGTATAAATTGGAGATCTAACACATTGTAAACTAGATAATAACCTATGTCCTGGCTCTTCCAAGTAAATACGATTCCAACCTACGCTAAACACACCTGATTCACAAGTCTGCCCCGATCGACCCAGAGGACATTGACAACGGTGAACCCCCGCCTCCAGGGTACATTGACCCCCAGCAGCACACTCAAGTGTACAAGGGCTAGAAGTGACGTCACTCAGGGGCGATGACGTCACAAACTGGACGGCTTGGACGGTTGTGGATGTTATTCTAGAAAACGACACAGAAAAAAATACACATAGATTACTGCGAGTACATTAAGGCCAAACTGATTGTAAAATATAGAACTTACGTAAGTTAATTGGTACTATACCGACAACGCCGATTAATCGACTGCCAAATAAGATTTTAATTAGTTTTAATAACAAAATCTTCCTAACCAAACGTAACCTTAAACATAGTCCACCCTGAGGTTAGGTTAGGTTATAATTATTAGGTGTGGTCGATATAACACCAAAGTACCAGAACTTATTTTGATAATTTGATAAACAAGTAAAACAAATTATGGTGTATTATATTTCATCCAATTTATTTACCGTTCTAAATCCAAATTACTCATCTAAATTAAAGGCTGTCACTGGAGAACTGATTTCATGTGTAGGAAACCTTTTAAATTACTAATCTGTTAAACTCTTTACAAACTTGTTTAGTCAGTCAGATTTTCGTACATCTAAATTGTAATTCTTGTGCTAATATGCATAAATGTATGTGTGCTACCGTCATGGAAAGAATAACAAATTATCTGCCGATTTGGATTGTACACATACGTGGAAGTGGCAACAGAAGACACTGACGAGGACGTCGAACTCCCTGTTGTGGTTTCCACATTCTCCTCATTGTTGGACCCCGTGTCCAACTCAGCGGAGAACGATGCGTCCTTCTGGTAGAGGATGTCTTCTCCTATGTCCGCCTCAGCCTCTTGCTGAAGTAACATCGGCTCCATCGTGGTGTTCAGCTCTGGAATATCGAGTTGTAACATGTACGAACATGCACGAAGTTTAAATAGAAAATTGTCTAGATATGTGCAAATTTGTTTGTTAGAGGTTATTTTAAGTATTACATTTTAGTGGAACGCATCAAGCAAAGGAGGTGAGTCGGTATACGAGAGTAAACTGTAGTGGTAATGTTGAAGTAGTGCTACAAGGACTTCGCGGTGAACAGCAATTTTCTTACTGTTTGCACGAAAAGGAATTGAAACATTTATTGCGATAACACAGTTAAAATAACTTCTTTGGAATTCCTTGAGGTAAATTCTCTAGAGATTTTATGATTGGGAATAACAATACTCCTTTTAAGGCAATTTATGGAAAGAACCATGTTAGAACAAACAAAAGGGTATTAGATGGACGGTTCGGTAATGTCTATGGTAAGTTAAAAAAATAAACCAGTGAAGGTTATGTTAGTGTTCTCATTTGTGTTGTATATTGAATAATTAAATAATTTCTTACTAAATTAATTTAATTATATTCAATGCTTATTTACAAAATACACTAGAAACTAAATAAGAAACAGGAAGTGGAATGCAAGCCAGTATACAAGTAAAAGGTCAAAGGTCAATACCAATGACTGGAGAGTATCCCCTTCACTTCTGACTAACACTGTGAGAATCGCAAGAGTGCTCTTGTATGGTTGATATTTTTCTCCTACACTTATAGAACAGATTGGATTTTGTAAGTAAATTAGCCAATCAAATAACAACAGATAGATTTTTCAATAGGAGGTTTCAATTCATGGAAATCCTTTTCAATATTTTATGGTAACTCAAATAAACAACATTAGACTTACCTAAGCAGCTGTAGCCGTTTTTGCTGAGGATGAATCCTTCTTTGCAGTCACACTCGAACATACCATCGTGTAGTTCGTAGCACAGCTGTTCACATGGGCTGTCTCTGCCACATCGCCCTGAAACATGATCAAACATTGTGAAACAGTGTTCAGGACAACTAAAGTTCAGCCAAAACGTGGACATATAAAATGAAGCTTAGTAGGCTACTACAGTCCTGAAATCATTACTAGTATCGGCAACAATGTATAGGATTACCAGTGTGTACCTAACGCAAGAGTCTATCAGGCCACAGGTCTTTAATACATAGTCCTGAAAATTTTCTAAACATTGTAAAACAATGTGCTTTACCAGTCTACAGCTCGGACTTGGATCTATTAGGTCAAGGACTTGTACTAGATAGTCCTGAAATCATCAGAGCATCGTAATCTATGTTCAGGATTACCGGTGTGTACCTAAAGCAAGAGTCTATCAGGCCAAGGGTATGTACAACATCATCCTGAAACATGTACAGGCCTTGAAAAATAATGTTCAGGATTAGTATTTATAGTCTACTGCTCGACTTGGATCTATTAGGTCAAGGGCTTGTTCCAGATAGTACTGAAATCATTAGAGTAGGCCTACCGTGAGCAATGTTCGGGATTAACAGTTTGTGCCTAAAGCAAGAGTCTATTAGGCCAAGGGTATTTATTACATAGTCCTGAAACATGTACAGGCCTTGAGGATAACCAGTCTGCAGCTCAGACATAAATCTATAAAGTCAAGGGTCTATGCCACGTCGCGTCGTCCATCAGTTTTAAATTGTTATTAGAATAACCAGGCTTGTAGGCAAGACATGTCTTGTAAAGGATCTCTACTTCATCACACTGAAAAATCTACTTAAGTTGTGAAAATGTATTGCATACCAATTGATCAGTTAAGAGGAGGATCAGATCAATGGCCCATTGTGCTGAAATGTCTTAAACGTTGCAACGAATGCTCAGAATAAGAACGCTACATTTAAGAGCCGGATTTATGGTATAAGCACCGGAAGTCAATGGTTTATACTTAATCGTTCTGAAGCGTTTACGAACGTTAAAACCATCTATGAACAGTTGTGCAGACATTGGTCTATCACTTAATTATGGTCAGCAAAAACATAGATGACGAAAATGCCAAAGTTTATGCATAAAGGTTGTTGAGGGTCAAGATACAAGAAATACTCTTCTATACAGTACAAATTTTTACATATTAACATTTTTTGTGTTATTTGCAAGCTCTTCAAAATTTGTTTTTTATGCGTGAATGTAGCGTAAGATTTAAAAATATTGTTAATGGGGTGGTTTCCAAACTGCCTATGTATTTAGGGACACTTGACCAATGAAGTAAAATTGATTGGGCCGTTTAAAATGTAACTTCCGGCAAAAAGAGTTAACCAAATCCAACCAATGTTTTCCAACAATGAACCTTTTTAGATAAAGACCAATTCTTCGGAAATTTTGTCCAATAATGTTCTTCCTCTATAGAAAGATAAAACAATAAATAACTTATTTCAAATAAATATACATCATGCATATATATTAATTCCCAAATTGTAAATCATTCAAATTCATAACTTTCACGATATTTCAAACGAATTGTACTATTATAAGATAATAAGTAATATTCACTAATTCAAGAGTCATCGTCCACCTAGTGAGTTTCGAAGGACCAATAGCTTCCAGTGAGAGTTCATTATTTGTCCTTTATCCTTAAAGGTCCTTTATTTGGGGAAGTTTTGTAATGCAGAAGTTGTTTAGATGACTAAATAAATTAGTCATGGTGTAGGAATGAAGTCACTGGGGTAATATATTATGGTTGTGGTTATTTAACTCTTAAACCATAGTATTTTTTTTTATTCGATCACAAACTTTGTCTTGTCAGATCATTGTTACAGGATATATATTTAGATTTAATTTTTTTTTCAATTTTCAAAACAAAATCACAAAGTTGATCATTTGCATAGTAAGTGTTATAGCACTAAAATTCACAAACACATTTACCGACCGAAGGCTTACTATGCTAAAGGGTATAGTTGCTTCTAATGGAACTGTTTTATAGCTGGAAGTAGGAAATGGCTCTGCGTCACTCATTTGGACAAACTCATTACAGTAAATTGTTTGTTTCCAAGTCTCTCCAGGGCGTCCTGTTTCTCTCTTTTATTTATTTAAATCACCCACCTGTTGTGCTCATTGTTTTCGGAGATTCACTCATTCCACTCAATCAACTTAGTTTCTTAACTATGCAAATGATGAACTTAAAACATTCTGTTGTTCAAAGGTTTATTGTGGACATTTTCCATCACGAATGTAAAAAAAAAACAATACACAACGTTTCGGGATCTGGAATCTGATCCCGTCCTCAGGTGAAAAAAACTTAACTAACACATTACAACTAACAATACACAAACGCCCAACTTAAGTTGGAATACACTACAGAAGGTAGCAGTCAAAAAATATGCACTGTATAGCAGTCAAGTCATGATATAACATGCAAATAATAACCAATCACAAAACACTATAATCTATAAAAGGTGTAACTTAAAAAGCTCCCACAATGGAACACTAAAAGCACCGTTCGCAACGGCTCCACCAATTAGACTGGTCTAATTGGTGGAGCCGTTTAAATCAACTTTTCTCTAACCTTTTATAGATTATAGTGTTTTGTGATTGGTTAATATTTGCATGTTATATCATGACTTGACTGCTATACAGTGCATATTTTTTGACTGCTACCTTCTGTAGTGTATTTCAACTTAGGTTGGGCGTTTGTGTATTGTTAGTTGTAATGTGTTAGTTAAGTTTTTTTCACCTGAGGACGGGATCAGATTCCAGATCCCGAAACGTTGTGTATTGTTTTTTTTTTTTTTTTTTTTTTTTTTTTACATTCGTGATGGAAAATGTCCGCAATAAACCTTTGAACAACATTAACTCACCATCACCAACAATGAACTTCAAACAAAGAATTAAAACATTCTGTTTACTAAGTTACAAATTAAAAGTACGATGGTATTCAAATGCTGCATATGTAGCTGGAATTCGAGAGGCTTGAAAAATTGGATAAATGGTCATTATCATTATACAGGGTTTTGATAAAATAATGGTGGGGTTTTAACTGTCTGTGAAACTATTATAAGACAAATTTAATATTTCATATTGGTACCCCTGCATCCGGTAGCTCAAACAGTTTTGTTTACATTAATTAAAACAGCTGTGTTTATTGTTGTGCTAATCGACAACCTACTTATTCGTTTAAATAATCTTTAAGTTGTATTTTCTTTACAAACATGGTTTCCATCAAGAAAAGGCTAAGTTTGTGAGTTATTAAGTGAACTGAAGTCAATGAACCTGGTAAAACGGGCATTTAGGAGATGTCAAAAACATGGTTTATTCTTTAAAAAATCAAAATTTCGGCCCATCTAATTGAGTCAGAGATGCAGTTTCAAATGTAACAAGATAAATGTTGCACAACGTGTGGGCTGAAATAGATCATCGTCTGGACGTCTGTACAACAAGAAATGGTGGCCATGTTGAAGTTTATTAGCTATGTATAAAATCTTTTTGATGTTAGGAGTTCAACAAAATAAATATTTTTTGTATCTTTTCTCGTTTTCTTTTTATTTCATAATTAAACCCCACCATTATTTTATGGAAACACTGTATTTTGCTGCTCACAATAATTTGCTACAGAATAAAAATTTGTATTGAAACATAAATCAACTTTCTTTTCATAGTACATTACATAGCAGATGGCGACGAGGGACTTTATTTTTGAACCCTTTGATGATAATGAAGAAACATGGAACAGCTACCTAGAAAGACTAGAAATAGCTTTTGTATTCAACAATATTTCTGAGGAAAATAAGACAATAACACTGCTACATGTTATTGGAAAGAAAACTTATGGAACACTTAGAGATTTGTTACAACCTAAATTGCCTACGGAGTTTTCCTATAAAGAATTAATTAAACAACTCACCAAACACTTTTCACCACTACCAAACGAAGTAGCAGAAGCTTTCAAATTCAACAATAGACGTCAACATGAACGTGAAGACATACAGCACTTTGCAACGGAATTGAAAGAATTGTCAAGATACTGCAACTTTGGCAACTATTTCAACACAGCATTACGAAATCAGTTCATACAAGGATTGAGAAATGAAGCGATTCAAGCCAAATTGATCAGCGAATCGGTCTCAACTATGGACAAAGCACTGGAGCTGGCAACTACACTTGAGAAAGCCTACCAGGATGCAGCAACACTACACCGTGGTGATAGCATATCAATTGGAGTTGAAAAAGTAAGTAACAACATCCATCCTAATAAAGTTTGCTACAGATGTGGAAAATCACATACAACACCTTGTCCACATATCAACACCTTTTGTAATTATTGCAAAAAAAATTTGTCATATTGCTAAAGTCTATTTGTCAAATCCAAATGCAGTGATAAAATTACCTACTAAAAAGTTTGGAACTATTTCTACAGCTAAAAATGTTAAAGCTGTACACAAAGAGTTAAATCTAACATCCGACACAGTATGTGTCCATGATCCCACACACAATGTTGTTGATATTTTGTATAATTCAAAAGGTTCAAATGATAAGATCTTGCTAAAAGTTAATCTTAATGACCGACCAACTACAATGGAATTAGAGACTGGGTCTGGAGCGTCAATCATGTCGCACTATAACTTTAAAAGAATGTTTCCAAGCCACAGACCGTTGCAACCAAGCAATGTTATTTTCAGAGATTACAATAAACACTGTTTTTCTCCAATAGGTAAAACTATGGTAAAAGTTAACTATCATGGACAGACCAAAGTTTTACCTCTATACATTGTAGAAGGAGACCGTGATACTCTATTTGGTAGGGATTGGTTGAAACAAATAAAAATTGACTGGCAAGAAATCAACCAACTGAGTTCCAAAAATAGCTTGGGCTTGGAAAATCTTTTAAAACAATATGAAAATGACCTATTTGTTAAAAACATATGCAAACTTCAGGGATTGGAAGCACAACTTTATTTAAAACCCGATGCTAAACCAGTTTTTAAGAAAGCTCGATCAGTTCCTTTTGCACTCATTCCTAGTGTGAA